GAGGTCGACGGGGCCGGACTCCTCGAGACGCTGCTTCTTGGTCGGAGGGTCTTGAGAGATCGGGGACTAACTCCCTTGAGGAGAGGAAGAACCCCTAAAATGTTGGTCGGCCTGAGCTATCTCTTGGACCTAGGTGACGCAGCTTTTGGCGGCTTTCTTGACACCTTTGGTCGCCGCAAGCTTCAGCACTCGCTCCTAGATGCTTGACATATGGCCTGCAATAGAGAAAAAGGAAAACAAGTTAATACGGCGAAGAAAAATAAGTAGGCACATGAGCGAAGAAAACACCTAATACCTAAGAACCTCAAGGCTTCCTCGTCAAACCCACACTCGAGGAGGGCATTGGTGTTAATTAACCAAGATTCACAGCGAACCTCCCCGCACTCGTCAAGAATAAAACTCCAGTCCTTGTTGACATATTTAGCGGGAGTGAAACCAGAGACGAACTCGACTATCTTCTCGTAAGATAGCTGATCCTCGGCGTTCAGAGAGTCGGGCTTGACGATGTAGTTGTTTGTACCTCTACTGAAGTGGCCCTCCTCCCACTCAAGAGGGAAATTCGCCTCTAGAGACTCCACATGCTCCCCGTCCTCCTCCTTGACCATAAGATCGTACAGGGAGTTGACGACCGCATGTGACACAGGTTTTACAACGAAGTACCTATCCTTGAAGATACAGACAGAATTCTAGTACGCTCGAAACAACTTCTTGGGATGCTTTAGGGATACCCAACTATGCCAACCTTGGAAGGATGTCCTTTGTAGGTGAAAAGTGAGAAAGAACAAGGGGAACATGGCTCCAATCTAGAGGTGTTAACGCACGAGCTCGAACGCTCGCACAATCGTAATCGCGCTAGGATGAAGCTACGAAGGTGTCAGAAGTAGCCACTAGAATACCCCTTATAGAAATCACTAAAGGGAAGACGAAGTCCTGTGTCCCGAAATGCGAACTCGTACATCAGGAACCACATCCCCTTGAACGAAGAGCAAATACGATGCGTCTCTTTAAGCTTGTAAACCAGCCAATTTGGGGAGGCGCCCTCGGCAAGGTTCTCGACGACTGTGAAGGTGTCCGAGTCGTCGATGGCGAAGCGCGACGAGGTGATGAGGGGTTCCTTCCCGGCCTAATCTAAAGGGTTACGGGCTCGCTCGACCCTGACTTGCTCAACGGGTGTGTCGGACTCGACTTCATCGTCGATTACGATGAAACCCTCGGTCCTTGCAGCCATTTTACCAGAGGAAAACAGTGAATTCGACATCTAAGATAAAATCTACCATTCCACTACAAATCAAGTGAAAGGGCAAAGAGAGGGGCGAGGAGTCGCTCGACAGACTTCTCCAACCATAACTCCTACCGAGAAAAACCCATCCACGAGGAGACTCTCCTCGATGAAAAACAGTGAGCCTCCCTCCTCGGTAGAAAGGTTCATTCACGAGGAGGCTCTCCTCGGCACAAAACAATGAGCCTCCCTCCTCGACAGAAAATCTCCTCAGCGCGTAAAATCTCTCCAACTGAACACGATAAGCCTCCTCGATAAGAGACTTCCTCGTGATGTTCACGCGTTCGCGGGGAGAAGGGCTCCCCGAGGCCTTCATCGTAGGACCCTGAGGCCTTCACCGGAAACCCCATGAAGTTCCCCAGAATCCTCATGAACTCCCCGACATCTACATCAGAAAATTCATGAGTCCTCTGGAAACTTCGTAAGTTCGCCGCGAACTTCAGCAATTCTCCAGAAAAATCATCGAAAAAATCATAGGATCTGGAAAATGGGTCAGGGACTTACTTAAAGGAAGTGAATTGTGGACGACGGGAGAAGGTTTACGGCGGCTACGACGACGGACGTACTTTGGGGAGCATAGAGAACTTTGAGAGATTTGGGGGAAAATCCTGAGTAGAATAGAGGGGAGCGTGCAAATGAAGTGGACTTCTTCCGTATTTATAACCCTAACACTGGAAGCGAGGCATCCCTAGGCACTCAAGTATCTCTACTCGTAGCCGCCCTAGGCATTTGTTACTTTTGACACGTGACCCTAGAAGACACCACGCATGTCCTTTCAAATCCCTCTCCTACTCGAGACCAGACGTCCTTGTTCCCTTCCGCTTTCGTCACATCGTTCGGGAACGCTTCCCTGGGGGAAGCAGGAAAAGAGCCAGGACTACATCTGACGAACATGTCCCCCCGCGAGCTCCTGCCATGTCGAGCAGATCCTACTCTTAGCCACGCGCTTCATTCCCCGAGGTTAGTGTTTCGAACGCACACGACGCTTCTCCGGGCAGGTCCTTAGCGCTAGAACTGACTCTTAAGTCATTACTCCTCTGCTTCGGAGCAACGACTTGGGGGACTTCTGTTCTGGACTGGACCAGAGGCTACCCCACTGTCAGACACAGCCAATCATCTCTCTGTCGTGGAGGATCTAATGAGGGTTCAGCTCATCACACGGGGAGCGCTCACACGTCTCCCCCACGGACTCCACGTGCCCCCCACGCGGGGACACGTCATCAGGAAACTACCCACCTCCCGAAGATCACAAGGCAGTTGACTCAGGGAAAAGATCACGTGTTGGTCTTCTCTACGCCACGTAGACCCTGGCAGTTACTCGTGGGCCTAGCAATCAAACCCAATGTAAAGTAAATGTTGACCCAGCGATGGGGACACATTATAAATACCCTCTTTCACTAGAGGGTCGTGTATTTTACTCTCTCACTTTTTTTTGTACTTGCCTTCTCTCTCTTGCTGAAACTGATTTTAGCATCGAAGTGCCTTGCAGGTACACCCCCTCCTCTTCTCCACCACTGGTGAATTAAGAAGCTCACGACATGTTGCTGGCCGTTGATCCTTTTTCTGATCCGATAAGATCAATAGGTATACGTATTTTTGTTTGAGATGAAGAGGACAATTTGTGGTAGCTCGAATAGAGTGGATGTCACCTATTACTGAGGTTGATACGGGGAGGCTTTAGGCCTTCTAGCAGCTATCAAATGGGTGCATGACCTCGATTTGGATAGAGTGGATTTTGAGGTAGACTAAAAAAGAATAGCGGATAAAGTGAATAGCCAACAACAAAATTTGTCAGAGTTTGACAAGATTATCAGAACGTAAATGCTTACTAGTCTGATATTTTATGAACTTTCATGTTAAGTTCATTAAGAGACAAGCTAATGAAACAGACCTGGCCCTGTGCAGCAGCACGCTCTACAGCACATACCCTTAAATTTTGGAGGGCTCCAAAATTTTGAAAAGTTCAATTTTTTTATATTAATATTAATAAATATAAAAAATATCATAAAATAATCAAATAAATTTAAAAAGTACTATGATAAAACCTCAATACATTAAAAAGAAATAAGATTGATTAAAGTTAAAATAATTATAATTACAATTTTTTTTAATTAATATATAATTATATTTTTTATATGTCACTTTTAATCATTATAATTGTATTTATTTTTGCCCATTTATAAATTAGAATTGAACGTTCAGTTTGTTAGATCGGCCCTGTAATAGTGTTTAGTTTTTAAATTTTTATTGATGTTCTAATGAATATTCAACCGTTTCTTATTAATAATATGAATTAAAAAAAATTGTGAAAAAAAAAATCTAGCGATAGAAAATGACATCAAATTCATAACATAAAGAAACATTTACTGTTGTTTACTTTAATGTACAAGTATAAATGAATGGAATTTGCATTTGTTGATAAAGTTGAAACGAAAAAGAAATGCAATAGTCTACAACGTTGTGGTTATTCATGTGCTTCTCAAGGATCTTCTTGACAGCATAGAACACAGAGTGGTGGATGCTTTTTTATGTCACAGTTGCAGCATGCGGTGTCACAATCATTGTTGCATCCTGTAGAACATCATTATTCTATCTTGTTAGTGTTTAGAAGTATGTTTTTTTCTGTACATGTTAACACTGTCAGTCTGGTATTAAAAAGAATATAGATGAGAAATAATTGCTAGTGTGGAAAAGGGTCTCATGTTGATCTAGGATAAATTATGTTTAAGTATTGATCATCCAACACCATAATGCTCTTTCATATGATATATGATAGAACATTATCCACTGTTTGATCCATATATCAATTTGATGTTGTTGTGTCGACTTATCATCAACTATCACCTATATGAGACACTTTACCTGTTATAGTAACATATTGAGATGATTGGATGTGGTGAGAAATCCTAAACGTTGAAAGACGGGTGCTACCATGGACGTTAATCACATGTTCAGAAGAAATCGTGAAAATCATAAGCCAAGCTACTGCTAGCAACTTCATGACCTGTGATGGTGATATCTATGGTATGTGAAGTTTACTCGGTATATGGTGTTATATAAGGGATCACAAGTCCTACACTTATGACAGTTTTATTTTTGTCATGTTAATCATTAAATTCTTTTCACATGTCCACACAATTTTATGTGTGATATGATTAGGTATGAGGGTCATTCTGAAGTTGTGTTACTTGGAAATACAGATCTGATCATGACTATTTTATTATGCAATTTAAACTCTGGTCACTCATATCAACTCTATGAGCATGCGCTTCATATTTAATATTATTCTCATCGAGACTATATTTATTACAATAGGGTATCAATGGGTAAAACAAATACACTCAACTACCATACTCCTAACAAGAATAAGATTAATTTAGAAGACACATAGCCTGATCTGATTTGGGATCATAAAGCACATATCTCAAACAAACATGGCCACAAGGTAGCAAATGATGAGAAAATTTAAGCTTTAATATACTGATTTTGCACTTTTCAATCTTTTATGACTCTCAACCAATTTAGGAGATGAGTCTATTGGCTATTTAACATTTATTTCGAAAACAAAAAGGCAATATAAACTTAAACGCAGAGTTTACAACAGGGGGTTTGGGTTTTATTATTAAGAAATATAACTAAGATAATCCCCCCACATTTAAATGAATAAAATTTGTTGGTAAATTGTTAATGCAAACACAATCACACTTCTAAGATTTGGATTTCAAGCTTTTGGCTGAAGTGACTTGATGTGTGCAATTTGCTTTCCAGGGTTCAAACCCTTTGGACAGGCACGAGCACAGTTCAATATGGTGTGGCAGCGATACAGCTTGAATTCATCATTAATGGATTCCAATCTCTCTGTAGTGTACTCGTCACGGCTGTCACTTATCCACCTGCAAACTCCATCAAAGACAATAAATATATCAGCTGTAAACAGAACCAAAAGAAAAAAGGCAATACTTCTCACATCTAAAACAGTTACCATTGGACAAAAACATTTGGTCAAGTAGGGTGAATAATTTAGTATACCTCAATGTTTCAAACAAATAAATATATAATACATGGAAATTTTGGAATACTAATTAATAATCCTGGAAGAATGCAGACATGTAAAAAAAAAAACCAACTATGCCAGAGAATTCTGCTGAAAAAACAAGTGAATGTAAATATGAAGAGATCTGAAGAAACACTTATATGTTACACAAATGTGCTTAGTTGATTTAAGATCTATGCTAATTTGCTAAGGGCGGCTTCTAATGTGCATGGTGCAAGACTAATTTTTACCATTAAATTAAAAAGTTCCACCAAACGTAATGGTATATCCTCCAGACTAAATTCCTCTCATGAAATTAACCAAGTTGTTGATGAGGATGATTCTGAGAAAAAGGGGTTCGTTGATTTTGGGAAAGTTAATTGATGATGGCCGTTGCGAAGAGACTGTAGAACATTCTTGAAGGAGGAAGAAATAATGATGGTTCAAGTTTTGTGGTGTTGTTGTTCTTCGATAAAGAGTGTACGCAATAAGTTGTACTTTATGATCTAAAGGTAAAAATTAGTCTTGCATCAAGCACCACTTGAGTGGCTTGTGCTTATTAGAACTTGCCATTTGCCAAGTATTAGAATTGAGAAATGAACTAGGTCAAAATCCTAAAAGCTTGCTCAAGGGAGGAGAATTAACAAAGTTTTTGTAAGGAATATTTTAGGCAGGACTTTAACAGAAACCCAACCCTTCCTGCATAAGACTAGATATTTGGAATGCAAGCCTTACATGAACAAACATAATAGGCTCAGAGATCATACTAGAATTATAGAACGGAGTGGGCCTAGCTCAGACCCAAATTAACAGAAGGATCCCAAGGTTATACAAGTCTTCCCAAGGAATATTTTGGTCACACACGTGGCAATTATGGGAACAGTTAACATTAAGAATGACATGGTATTACAGGATCGAGAATAGAAGAGGCACCATTACCATGTTCTATATTTTTGTGAAAAGTTAGAAGGAAAAAGAGTAGACAAAGCATTTGAAACTAAAACTATGTCGGAGGACACTGGCGGATAGTTCATCAGAGCAAAGAACAAACCCATAGGCAAAGCTCCACACTGAACATCCTACTCTTATTAAAAGAAAAGACACTGAAAATACTATTTCATCCTACACTTGTATCTCCCAAACTAAAATTTAGCAATTTAAATCTCAAATGTTCTCTGTACAAGCAGATTCTGTAGATCTAAACCCAGCACATTCTCACACTTTACTTTTGCAATAAGCCAACAACAATAGTACAAAATCAAATTGAACCTAATTCCATCAATTAAATCCATTCTTTCATTTCCACCTAAGAAAATCAATCAATCATATTATGGCAGAAATCATAAAGTACCACTCAATTCCATTATAACAAACAGTCCAGATCCAGTAACCTTAAAATTATTATAAGAGAAATAAAAAACAAAATAATGTTGTGTTACCTACTAATTAGTATAATGTTTATATTACCTATCAATTAATTAACACATGTGTATAAATATACAAACAATGAAACAACAACAACTAAGCCTTATCCCACTAAGTGAGGTTGGCTACATGGATCAACTTTCTGCCATATGTGTATAAATATAAACAAGTAAAAAATGTTTTCTTTTTGGAGCCTAAAGCAGGGGCTTCCTTCCCAGTTTATGGTTGGGTTGGAAGCGTGCATAATATAAGAGATACAAGCGCGCATGCAAAGATTAGAAAGAAGAGAGAAAAAACAGAGTATGATAAAATTTGACACTTCATAAAATGATGAGAAAATGGAGATATATAAGGCTGATAAAGAATTGAATGAGGCAAAAAATAAATCTTTTGAAGTTTTATACAAGTCATTAGACACCAAACACGGGAAATGACATATTTATTGGCTTGGTCAAGGAGAAAAACAGAATGCAAGAAACTTAAATCAAGTGAAATGATCAAGATGAAAAGAGTAAAAAATTGTCCATAGAATAATATATCATAGAACAATGCAAGGTTATTTTCACAAGTTATTTTGTGAAGAACATGCAAACTCCAATGGAGTCAAATAACTTAACCACTTCAGAGATGACCAAATTACACCTTCTATCATAAAACTACAGAGCTTGTGATAAAATATACATTTAGAGAGAATGAACCACATAAAAATGGTTGAAATAAATAGTTCACCTTCTCTCTGTCACAATCGTTCACTTGAAGAGTTTTAAGTCTTCTTACTAGAAAGTTAAAACGAACACATATTTTAGAAAATGAAATGATCAAGATGAAAAGAGTAAAAAATTGTCCATAGAATAATATATCATAGAACAATGCAAGGTTATTTTCACAAGTTATTTTGTGAAGAACATGCAAACTCCAATGGAGTCAAATATCTTAACCACTTCAGAGATGACCAAATTACACCTTCTATCATAAAACTACAGAGCTTGTGATAAAATATACATTAGAGAGAATGAACCACATAAAAATGGTTGAAAAAAATAGTTCACCTTCTCTCTGTCACAATCGTTCACTTGAAGAGTTTTAAGTCTTCTTAATAGAAAGCTAAATCGAACACATATTTTAGAAAATGAAAATAGAAAATGTTTTTACCAAGTAACTGTTAATTAACCAGTTGAATTTTGTGCCTCTAATATCAAACCCTGGCATCTTCAAAGAGTTTCCATAGATAATCGCCAAAAACTTAGAGAAAAGTCCGCAGACAAAATTTTCATGGTAACCCATTATTATCACAACCAAACTAAAATAGAGGGGGAAAATCTTTCTGTCATTCTATTCTATCATACACAATCATACCACGCCCAAACCACAATACCAGCACAAAATGAACTTCCCAATTCCAATCCAATTTAACATAGATAACAGACAAACCACATAGACAAAAGAAACAAACAAATGGAAAATCCAGCAAAAGACAATTTAGTTACCATGTATGCAGCACCGACTTTTCAAATTGAAGTGGTGTTGAGTGTTTGCCTACATGAATACGATGGTATACATTCAATCACTCCAATTTTCTTAAATTGTTAGGTTAATTATTAGCTTTTCGGCGGTGCTTCATAGATTACATATGTTGGAGTAAACTTCTAACCACGAGACACTACCACTAGCTACATTCAATCACTTCTATAATTTTATATTACTATGAGTGTTATAGTGCCAGCATCATGTCATGTGTCCGTGTTCCAGAATAAAATAAACTCCTACACGCACACAAATCTTAAAAGCTAGTAAAAATGAAAACGTTACCTATTAGCGTGGAGCAAAGCAGCGGGTCCAAGATAAGACTCAGGGTTCCACCAATAACTAGGGCAAGATGTGCTACAGCATGCACACAAAATACACTCGTACATCCCATCAAGCTTAGCACGATCCTTCTTACTCTGAAGAATCTCCTTCCCCGGTTCCGACGGCGGATTCTTCCGCTTCAACCACGGTTCAATACTCTTATACTGATTATAAAAATTCGTCATATCAACCACGAGATCCTTTACCACAAACATATGAGGCAGCGGCGTTATCGTCGTATCCGAACCCTCGGAAGGAATCTTCGTCAAACACGCGAGTCCATTACAGCCGTCGATGTTCATCGCGCACGAACCACAGATCCCTTCACGGCATGATCGACGGAAAGTGAGGCTTGGATCGATTTCGTTCTTGATCTTAATCAGAGCGTCGAGAACCATAGGCCCGCACTCCTTTAGGTTGATTTCGTATTCCTTTAGCTCGGGCTTTGACGGAGTATCGGGATTCCAACGGTAGATTTGGAATTTCTTTAGCGCGGTGGTGTCGCGGGCTTTGGGCTGTACCTGCTGGGCTTGGGCTTCGGAGGCGTGGGCTCGGAGTAGGGTTAGCCTCGACGCTGGGGAAGATGATGAGAGCCTATTGATGGCTCTTTTGAGCATCGTCGAAGCCATTGTTGAGAGAGAGAGAGAGGTGATGACGTGGCGGTGATGGAATTGGGTTTAGGTGATTTTAGTGAGTGCGATGCGTGGGAAGAACACGAAGATGGTTAATAAAGGGTGGTTGTGGTGTGAATTCGGAGAAGTTCTGAGGGTAATTTGGGAATTCGGAAGTTTGTTTTCGTGGCTTATTTTTTGTTTTCGTGTAGGAATTTATTTTCCGGTTTAGGTGATGATGTGGCGGTTCAGTTTAGGTGATGATGTGGCGGAATGGGGATGCAGTCACGTGGTGAGTTTTAAAGTGTATTCAATTTGGTGAAGTTGTCTGGCTGTATATGAGGCTCGTGGTCGCAATGCGCCTTACGTAAATCAAATGGTTATTGGCAACTTCAATTTGCCCCACAACAACCGATAAGCTCAAAAAATAATTTTTTTTCTTAAATATTTATTTATATACAATTTATTAAATGAATTTCTTTTATAGAAGAACATTCCTTATTGCCATTTATTTATTAAAATATAAAAATTAAAATCACACATATTAAATAATATTTATTAAGTATAAAATAAAATATTATATTTATTAATTATTTTTTAATTGTGCGCAAAAAATATTTAACTTAAATAGATATCATAACTCAATTGGTATGTTTGATTGAATTAAATAAATATAAATTATTCATTTAAAATTACAATAATATTTACAAATATTTATGTATTAACTGTTCCGGTCTGGGCCCGACATCGGTAGGCCCAATATCACGTACGGCCCAACAGGTGAACCGGGCACGTGCGTCCCGCGAGACGAGCAGAGCATGCCGCCGGACACCAGCAGCGCATCCAACAGCTGCTCGTCGTCCCTCTTGCCAGCCGAACAGAACCGACCCCGGCGCACCAAAGCGCGACCCTTGGTTCCTCCCCTCCGCGGGGAGAACAACGCGCTCCGGGGGACCTCCCGAACTCCCCTCCGCGGGGAGAACAACGTGTCCGGCGCACGTTCTCCACGTGCTCCCCTCCGCGGGGACACGTCACCAACCAACTGCCCACCTCCGAAAGAGCAGGTCAAACCCACTTTCCGGAGATCTAGGAGCAGTTGGACTAGGGCGAAGACCACGTCCTGGTCTTCATTACGCCACGTAAGCCCTAGCAGTCATTAGGGTTGGGCCTGGTCATCCAGCCCATCTCAAATGACCGTTGGCCCAGCGCTGGGGTCTCTCTATAAATACCCTCTTCCTCAAGAGGGTCAGGTAATTCACATCTTGCCCTTTCTGTACTTTTGCTCCCACTCTGCCCAGTTCCTTACTTTGGCATCGGAGTGTCTTGCAGGTACACTCCTCTTCTCCTCCTCATCACCGGTGAACAGGCAGCAGCCCAACAGAGTGTGGCCAGTCCGTGATCCCCTCCTGATCAGGTCAGATCATTAACATACAATTCTAAAAAACACGTTTAAATAAAAAAACCTTAAAATTGATATATATATATATATATATATATATATATATATATATATATATATATATATATATATATATATATATATATATATATATATATATATATATATATATATATATATATATATATATATATATATATATATATATATATATATATATATATATATATATATATATATATATATATATATATATATATATATATATATATATATATATATATATATATATATATATATATATATATATATATATATATATATATATAAAAGAAAATAATCATATATTCTTATTTTTTAAACTCTGATGTTAAGTGTATATTTAATATATCAAAAATGTTAAAAGTACTTACTTAAACTTAAATAACTTTTAGAAAAAATATTAACATTACTAAATAATCAATTTTCATTTTTTATATAAAAATTATCATTGAATATGTAGTTTGATTTTATATATTAAATAATTTAAATAAATATATAACATATATTATATGTAAACAAAAAAATTGATATGAATTAATTTTAAAAAGGTTCTTAATTTGTAAATATGAATAACTTATTTACATTAATATATAAATATAAATAAATGATAATAGCTCTCCACCTACCATAATTGTTTTTTATATAAAAATGAAGTTATTATTTATTCATAGTTTTATAAATTTTAATAATAATTTTAAAATTTATATAATTTAATTTCAATAACTTATTATTTTTAATTATATATTTTTGACATATTATTTTATTTAATATTAAATTATTTTTTATTTATATTATATTATATTTCAATTTTAATTTTTAAAATTATATTATTTTAAATTTAAATAACTTATTTATTTTCTTATTTTGATTTCAAACACAACTTAAATTTACAATAAGAATTTAAAATAAAAAAGATCGAACAAGATAAGTTTTGTGATTAACTTATGTTCAAAATTCCTTTTTGAAATAAGATATGTTGCACTTCAAATTTAGAATAAGAATTCCAATATATTAGTAGTTATTAGTTATAATTTGTATTGGTATTGTTGTATTTATTTCTTTGTTTATTTATTGTTCCATTTAGGTAGAGCTATGGAAATGGGCTAGTTTATATGGGTCGGTTCGGCAGGTCCAAAAAATTATAGAGTTTAAGCTTTAAATTTAGAGTTTATATTTTTCAAAAAAAATTTAGTCCAACCCTAAAAAGTTCGTTATCCATTAGTGCTATAAATTTTTTTTTTAAATATTAATACTTATAATGTCTTCAACTATCTAAGAAAAATAAATATTCCATCATCCCTTAATTGCCCTTTTTAAATTTTAAAATTACCCATGACTTTGGTTATATCGGTAATTAACTAATTAGATATGTATTTCATTGGATTTTTGCTCTACTTTTGCCAATTATCACTCGCCAATTGGTTCATCTTATTTCTTCATTTCAAACAACTTGTTGATTTCCCTCACTTTTCTTTCTCCCATGTAGTATGCGTACGGTTTCAGTCAAGATACCCTTTCTCAATACCAAGTGTTTGCTTCAGAAACCCTATCAGTACCGCTCGAGAGAAGTCATGTCGGAGAGGGTGATACAACCGATTATAATAGCTATTCAGGTTTGACGTTATACACGTGATGATATTGTTTTCTCTATTCTATCCCAACTTCCTCTCAAATCTTTCAAGCGTTTTCAATCAATATGAAAATCATGGTCCCTTATCTTTCCCTCATTTTTCTCTCACCTTTTGTTCCGGTATGGGCCCAACCTCGGCAGGCCCAATACCGCGTACAGCCCAACAGGCGAATCGGGCACGCCGGGCACGTGCATCCCTCAAGACGAGCAGGGCAGGCCGCCGAACACAAGCAACGTCCCAACAACCTTTCATCATCCACCACACCAGACGAGCAGAACCGTCCCCGGCTCACCAAAGCGCGGCCATGGTCCCTCCCCTCCGCGGGGAGAACAACGCGCTCCGGAGTATCTCGCGAGCTCCCCTCCGCGGGGAGAACAACGTGCCCGGCGCACGTTCTCCACGTGCTCCCCTCCGTGGGGACACGTCACCAGCCAACTGCCCACCTCCGAAAGAGCAGGTCAAACCCACTTTCCGGAGATATAGGAGCGGTTGAACTAGGGCGAAGACCACGTCCTGGTCTTCACTACGCCACGTAAGCCCTAGCAGTCATTAAGGTTGGGCCTGGTCATCCAGTTCAGCCCTAATGACCGTTGGCCCAGCGCTGGGGTCTCTCTATAAATACCCTCTTCCTCAAGAGGGTCAGGTAACTCTCTCCTTCCCCAATTTCTGTACTTTGCTCTCACTTTGCCCAACTCCTTACTTTGGCATCGGAGTGTTTTGCAGGTACACCCCCCTTTCTCCTCCCCATCACCGGTGAACAGGTAGCAGTCCAACAGCGTGTGGCCAGCCCGTGATCCCCTCCTGATCAGGTCAGATCACATTTCTTCCCATTTCTTCTCCTTGGGTTATAAGACACCATTTTCTACAACAAGTATTGAAGCCTCATATCTTTCTTTTGCTGACTTCGGTTACATTTGTACACCTATTCCGATTTTATGGTTTTTTTTCTGTTTGTTAGAAATATTCAAATGTGCTTAGTTTTGATTTTTTCACTTTAAGATGCTTTAGTGGCTATTTATGTATAATAAAATATTTAATGACTTTTTTTATTCTTCTGATTTTGTGATTTCGGTTTCCCTTGAGTACATTTTATCCAAGTTCATGTGGTTTTTTTTGGCTTTTAAAGCAATTTTAATTTCGTTATAATGAAAGGTTTCGGCTCTTCTAGTTCTTGTGATTTCGATTTCCCTTTATTACATTTTATCCAAGTTCATGTGGTTTTTTTTTTGCCTTTTAAAGCAATTTTGATTTCTTTATGATGAAAGGTTTCGGCTCTTCTAATTCTTGTAATTTCGGTTTCAAATATTTTGTTTGCTTTAAAAGTTAAAGTTTATTTATGTGTAATGGCTTTTTGGGTTAAAGTTGTTCATTTGATTTCAGTTTATGATACTTTTCCCCTTGCTTAAAAATTATCCAAGTGACTTGGCATGTGATTTCAATTTCCGATACTTTGGTTCTTCTGGTATGTGTTTCGTAACTCATTATTAGCTTCTTCCTATGCCAACAAGGCTCACTCTATCTAATTACATTATAAGTTATTCAGTAACTTAGTGAAGTTAATTTGGACTTATTTCAACCATTACATGAACACTCAGTTTGTAATTTACTAAATATCATATTATGTTATTGATTACATTGTTCATTTCACTTTACATGATTTTTAAAATATATGTTTTTCCTTCTAACCATGAAGACTAAATCTGCAATTTACTTAATTTTGTAAACCAGTCTAAAACTAATTATAAGCATCCATGATTAACCAATCTTTTTACACCAGGTGCATCTAAGCAGAAAACTAATATTACTCATTTAATTTATTGTTCTTTTTACCAAATATAACTTAAACGTATTACAAAATTATATCACAAACTATCAACTAATGATCCACTTTGATTGCTATACAGTTGAGCATTTTTTAACCTCGTGAATTTTTTTCAAATATAAAT